AAAATTACTAGTCCACAGAGTAGTTTCCTTGGACTATAAAAATTTTATATTTTAAAGCTGTATTTTATATGCAGATGAAGGATGCTTTTGAGTTTATCATTTCATGTAGGTTTTTTGTAGTTTTAAACCAACAAACAAAGACTATTCCTGTGCCTAAAGTTAGAACAATTCCATCACTGTCAAGTTAGAAGAAACGAGTGCAAACTGAGAAGGAAGCTGTTACTCGTTGGAAGCTAGCAAGTCATCAGCTGAGTTAGTCTTATCCCGAGACTATGAGAAAGCCATAAAAGTCAAGAGCCAGGTACCTAAGCAGGAGTAGGAAAGTATGATTCTAGAAAATGTGAATATTTTTACTCTGAATCTCATGGTGATGTTAATTTCACTGGTAAAAGTAGTACATTTCCAGTTTAATTGCTATTAATGCATAATTAAGTATGAGCAAAAGCACACTCTTCTATCTATGTGTCAGAAACACAGCTTGTATGAATTCAGACAAGACTGTAAGACTCAGAGAGAGCGCGCAACTCTTATGAAGCTGCTTATTGAAACAATATGGCCTATGAACTAAAAGAATAGCCCTTCCTTGGGCTTCAGCTATTAACAGCACAGATCAGTCAGACCTTAAATGTTCAAACACCTCACCCTGAAAGTGAATTTCAGCTGCTGGGAGACACATTAAAGCAAATGAAAAAATGACAGTGTTGAGAACCAGCTTCAATAAAATGAAGAAAGGATAACAGCTCCCATTAAAATGGCATTTAGGCACCACTGGAAAACTTTTAACTCATCAAAATCTAATTTATCAAATCAGCTTTGTTCTGCCTTATGTCTGTTGTCTAAGTAACAGAAACATTCAAAGCAGTACATTACTCTATGATGGTGATGTATCGAAGGTGTATGCTATAAGGGAGGTTAAGGGAAAACCATTTCACCAGCACTAGCACTTCTATGTAAAATGCTACATACTGAAGATGCAAAAAACTGAACTGTATTAACAGCTTTTTGTTTGGTACACAGTATTCATAATGTCATCAGCACAAGGATTCAGATTTTAGACTTTTTTCTTTAAATCCCAAATGAGGTTTCTTGTTCAAAAAGCACTCAAACACCTGTCTCCATGTCTTCTGGCACTTAAATGACCTGATTTTTGTACTTCACACTTCTGAAAAATCAGGACGCTTATCTGCATTCATAAATAACAATACAGATGTCCATTCCCCCCACTTCTGTACAGACAGAGGCTTTTATTTGTAGCATACGAGAAACACTGGGGACTGATATTACAAGACTACTGTTAATCCTGATTGATATTAGACAAGCCATTTCTCCCCCCAGAAGCATTATTACTTTGGCAATAAGTGGATTGCAAAAGTGGATTTATTATCAGCCCCTTAATTACTCTGTAGATATTTTAAGTTTATTGCTACCTAGCTTAATGTTCCCTAAATGAACTGTTTTCAAAGTCTTTACAAACACAGTTTAGCAATTAGAATACAACATATAATTATTCTTTTTAATAAAAATAGCTATTAAAGAGAGAGTGTGTGGTTTGTTTTTTTTTTTAATAGACTTTGACTCAAAAGGAAAACACTTTTAGTCAAAGGACTGAGATGTTCATTATCTAAATTAAACTATTCAAGTGGTGTAACAGGAGTACGTGTAAGATTTGCAGCAAGACTAGCTTCTTAAATCAAAAACATTCTACCATGCAACACACCTCCTTAAGTGTTTGCTTAAAATTTAAGCACAAAACACAGCACATTTAAGTGCTTTGCAGCAATTTCTACCACACCCATGTGTAACTCACAAAAAGCAAAATCATACAATATAGAACTGATACAACAGTAAGGTACAACAGCATGAAACATTTCATGCACAAATACAGTATTTCATTTCATTATTTTTGCCATAAATGTTGCAGAATATCCTAAGCCCCACAACAAACAGTTACCTATACTAACAGTGCTTGGGAAACTTTGTTGCCTCATAACCTCAGCTACAGGACAAGGACAAAAAATACATAGCTCCTTCTTTCAAAGGCAAAGAAAGATGGGAGAAAAAAAAAAGTGGCAGCCAAATAGCTTTTTCATGAACAAGTCTCCCATCCTTACCTCAGCAAATGCGTCTTTCATGATCACTGTATCCATCTTAAGTAGATAGGGCTGGTGCTTCACTTGACTCTTCATCAACACAAAATTGTACATATAAAGCATTGTACCTTTGGGCATATTAACCAAGTAGCTGAAACAGGATTTTCATACATCCACTTTCATGGAAAAGTGAGGTGTTTCCTGAGGCAGGGAATCTATTTAACATAATTGCAAGACAGTTTTTTCAGCTGTGCTGGCTCTCCACAGTAACTCCATGCTGAGCAATTGGGTTCTACCATAGTTCTCCAGTGCCTGCCATCACAGAAAGAAGTAGAGCAAAAGGCTGCACCTCTTCTAGCTCCTGTTCCCAACTTACACATCTCTACACCTAGGTGAGAGGCTAGACTGAACTACAAAGTTAAGTTTTCATTTCTAACTTTAATTCCTTGATTGTGTAAAATGAACTTGAAAATTGAACCACTTAATTGGTGGTTCATGTATCACTCCTCCATCCTTTCTTAATTCAAGGGATTGCCAAAACTCCTTCTACTGCAAAAAATCATCCAGGTCAGATGATCTCAGCAATCCTTTGTCCTCACTTCTTCATCAGCAATCTGAGGGCCTTGGTGCTCTGCACTCCTTTAATTGCTTCTCTGAAGCCATCCAGTTCCACTGGGAAGATATATATTGTATCAGGAAATGTTGCAAGTCTACCCAGTTGCTGTTGCAGGACCATGGTCTTGTTGAGATCAAGGAGTCCGGTGGGATGATTCACATGACTGCAGTGCTGCAATGAAGGGGTACAGGCACTTTAGGAAAGACAGGCCAGGATGACAAAGTGAAGTGGTGCAGTTGCCATTTGTGTGAGAACACAGCCGAAATGCATGGAAATCTGCCTTGGGATGAACAATGAGCCAATTGAAAGCTTATGGGTAAGGGCTAAAAAGATGACAGATACAGGTGATATTACAGTGGGTGGTAGCTATAGGCCACCTAACTGGAAAGAAGTGGATGAGGCCCTCTACAGAGAGCTAGAAGCAGTTTCACATTCACAGGCCCTGATCCTCAATATCTACCAGAAGGACAACACAGCAGGACATAAGCAGTTCAGAAGGTTCTTGAAGAGCATTGATGACAACTTCCTGACCAAAGTGATAGAGAGGTGCTCTGCTGGACCTCATACTCAACACCAACAAGGCACTTCTTAGGGATTTGAAGGTCAAAGGCAACCTTGGCTGCAATGACCATGAGATACTGGAGTTCAGGATCCTGAGATAAGGGAGCAGGGCAAAAAGCAAGCACAGTGCTGGACTTCAGGAGAGCAAATGGCCTCTTCAAAATCAGCTTGATAGAATCTGATAGGATAAGGCCCTAGAAGGAAGGAAGGCCCAAAGAAAGTTGGTTAATATTCAAGGAATCACCTCCTCCAAGCTCAAGAGTGGTTTCTTCCCACTGCATGTCAGACAAAAACACCAGGAGGCCTGCATGGACGAACAAGAGCTCCTGGCAAAACTCAAACACAAGGAAGCCGTACAGAGGGTGGAAGCACAGACAAGTAACCTGCTAGGAACACAGAGACACTGTGCAAGCATGCAGAGATGCAGTCAGAGAAGCCAAAAGCCCACCTGGAATTGAATTGGTCCAAAGATTTCAAAGGCAACAAGGTCTTCTGGAAGTACACAGGTGAAAAGAGGAAGGCTAGGAAAAATGTGTGCCCAGTGCTGAACGGGGCAGGGGCAATGATGACATGGGAAAGGCTGAGGCCCTGAGCACCTTCTTTGCCTCTGTCTTTTCTAGCAAGACCAGCCTTCAGGAATCCCAAGCCCCGAGACCAGGGGGAAAGGTCAGAACAAGGAAGACATTTTCCTTAGTTTAAGAGGATCAGGTCAGGGAATACTTAAGCAAACTAGACATGCATAAGTCCACGAACCCTGATAGGATGCACCCACGAGTGCCGAGTTTGCAGATATCATTATGGGGACACTCTCAATAATTGTTGAATACCCATGGTGACAAGAAGTGCCCAAAGACCAGAGGAAAGTAAGCTTCGCTCCTATCTTCAAGAATAGCAAAGAGGAGGACCCAAGGAACTACTGTATGGTCAACCTCACCTTGATGGAGCAACAGCTCCTGGAAATGATTTCCAGACACATGAAAACACAGTCACCACTGATTCACTGAGAGGAAGTAATTTTTGTCCAACCAGATAAACTTCAATGATGAAATAAATAACCAGCTTGGTAGATGAGGGGGAGCAGTGGATATAGCCTACCTTGACTTCAGGAAAGCTTCTAACACTGTCTTGGATGGACAGTGAGATGGATTGCAAACTGGCTGAGTGGCCAGTCCCAGAGTGATCAGTGACACAAAGTCTAGTTGGAGGCCACTAATTAGCAGTTTATCCCCTGGGTCAATACTGGGTCCAATCTTGTTCAAAATCCTGGAGCATCTCTTATACAAGATGCTGGAATTGGAGCATCTCTTACATGAGGAAAGGTTGAGAGAGCTGGGGCTGTTCAGCCTGGAGAAGGTTCAGGGTAGTAGTTTTATCAATCTATACAAATACCCAAAGGGAAGGTGTAAAAATGGAACCAGAATCTTTTCAGTGGTGCCCAGTGACAGGGCCAGAGGCAATGGGTACACACTGAAACACAGGAGGTTCCCTCTGAACATCAGGAAACACTTTTCAATGGTGAAGGTGACCAAGCACCGGCACAGGTTGCCCAGGGAGGCCATGGAGTCTCCATTCTTGAGATACTCCAAAGCTGCCTGGACATGGCCCTGGGCCATCAGCTGTAGGTGAACATGCCTGAGCAGGGGGTTGGACCAGATGACCTCCAGAGGGTCCCTTTCAACCTCAACCATTCTGTGATATGTTGAAATTTGATTAAAAGAGGAAAGACACTCCACTGTATTTCCCCTCTTTTTATTACTCTGATTTCTTCCAAAAAATAGCATACTTTCAAATGAAATTCCATGCAAGAAATTTAGCAGAACTAGCTTTGACACACACAAATTCCAGTGAAACACTCCAGCACTTCAGAAGTGTCAGCATTTTTCAGCTAGTTTAACGAGTACTGATTCTAGCAGACAAGAAAGTCTTGTTTTCTTAAATTCAGCAGCAGAACTGGCTGATTCTACTGCTTTGGTGAAAGTTGTAGGTGGTCTATACAATGAACAAAAAAAAAAAATCAGAAGTCATGGAGTATGACCTAATTACAGGGGGAAGGCAACACAACTACAAGCTCAAGTAATTTAAATGCATAACTGTAACAGAAATGTTCTTTACTAGGTTTACTGTAACTTTTTAAAATACTCATGTACTATCAACATTTTCTCACTTCATCTCTATGTAAACTATATTATCCAACAGCAGCAAACAGCTACTGTTAGCCCAAGAAGGGAGAGAAAAAACATGAAATACCCAGACCCTCTCAGTAGTGGGTGGCTACAAGCATGTGGAAAGCCAAGAAAACACCATGTCAGAAACCCCTAAGCCAGATCTAAGAGACTGATGGGCAGTTAGGATGGTAGTTAGGCACAGGTCTGCCTACTGATATAATTAAGTTACATTCCCAAACAAAGTATTTGACTCTAATTTGGGGATCGTTATCCACATGCACTGGGGTGTGTACATACATATACAGTCCTCCCTCCCAGAATGAATTCCTAGTATCCTCAAATGTTATGCAGACTCCCCTCCTAGCTCATGATCCAGTAAATAACTATGTTCCTAATGCCTTATGAACTGCAATGAGGTTCCCATCACCACTCATCCTTCTGCCAAGCCCATCTGGAATTTGATGAAACAAGTAAGAAACACATCCTAAGATCTGTCTAATAATTTTCAGAAGACATTAAAACTACCAAAAAGTCATGAGAGTCTTTAATACAATAGAAAATGTTCAGTAATCTAGGTTCAGCAGCTGTTACTGATTACCACAGTCATATTTGGAAAAACAACACAGAGATTTAAAACTCCTGAAATTCAGTTCTTTCAGAGCAGTTTTGTACAGAACAAATTCGTTTAATCTTGAAAGCACCATGAAGTGACACTACATATTAGCAAGCATGGAAAACAAGAGCATCGTGGGACTTTACCACGTAAACTACACCTTGAATACCACTAAGGTAGATTTACACTGCAGGCTTGAGCACAGCACTGAGGTACTCAAACTGACTCAGGTATTATTTGCCACTTAGCTCTGCATGCAATGTAGACATACCCTATATTTCTGAATATATCTCATTATGAATTAACTGAGCTCTGCAGTACAATATTTAGGCCCTCATTCTGCACCAAAGTCAACAGTCATTTTTCCATCAATTTCAAAAAGTGCAGGGTCAGGCTTGTAATCACAAACACACTTCTACTAACAAAACATTTGATTTTAACAAAGTTGCGTCAAGTTCAAACATGAGTTTTGAGAGCATGCAGATTGCTTACAAATGCTTAAAAAGACTGGTTCAGAATCTTTCTTATATATACACACACAAGTCCATCTGTCACAGACAGGCAACCTAACTCAGAATCATGAGCTTGCTATAGGTTTTTGGTAGTGTCCTGCACACTTCTGATAATTAAAAAATAAAAAATAAAAAAATAGTTGCCACAATGGATTTCTGACCATTCCAACTTGCACATGGATATGATCTCTTCTTGCTGCACCCAGTATGTGACGTTTCACAGTTGCTTTTCAAACGCAAATACCAAGTAAATACCTGAAAAATAAAATGGGAATATTTAAAGTTTCAGCTTCCTCTGTGACTCAATTAAGTTTTCAAAATGTAAACAGGCTGATACTCCGCCCAACCTGTTAGCAGATTACTGAAATTATAAAAAATGCTGTGGTTTCCCAATAAATAACTCTAGCATTCAATTCCAGCATGGTTTTAGACATGTTTTCACAACAGAGCTAAGAATGCACAAGAGCAAAATACTTTAAATACTGCTAATACGGTTAATGCAACACTAACTTCAGTTAACAATATTACTGAAGTGTGAATGGAATTCATAAATTACTATGCCATTCTACACATAATTAACATTCACTGGTGCCTAAAAAAAACATATGAAACTGAGTCTAAAGACCTCTTCATACAAGCAGTAATGGACAATTAGGGGTAAAATTATCAACTTCATTTTTAATTAAAAACTGAATAAACTATTGGTACAAAATTATTCATTTTGTTCTTTTACATTATCACGAACAAAGAAGAAATATTTACAAACACTAAATGGCATTTTCTCAACTCCAGAACAGTGTGATTCCAGGAATGGATATTCATACAGCCCACACCAGCACCCTCGAGAAACTCTTACTTGGCACACAGTCAATGCCAGCTATGTCAGATGTTCTTATGCTTCCTACCAGACAGGTAAGTTAAACCAGTTCCTTGAGACCATGATGTCTAATTAAACATTTAAGGATTTCCACTTGAAAACAACATCTATTTTAATGGATGAGATGCCATAGCTTCATTGCAATCTTTCAAGACAAGCCTATCATACAATCCTTAGCAATAAAGCAAAAAAGTTCCATGTAACGAATAAGATGTGCTTATACCCCAACTATCAGAAGCTCTGTACTCCAAATCTCTAAAAAAAAAAAAAAACAAACCCTAAGAAAATAGTCATCATTGAACTTCTAAAAGGCATAAAAAGCCCCTCTAAATTAGATTAATAGTTACATAATACTTCTACATTGTTGGAACCTTATGATTCATACCTTTAAAAATTAGATAATAGATTAAGAAAGTAAACATCTTAACTAAAAATTTTTTTCATTCATGAATTGAACAGAATTTTTTGTTTTTAAAACACTAACACAACCAGTATAATGGTCTGCAAAAATGCAAATGCTTGTTGGTTACAGTTACACAGAATTAAGTAACAATCTCTCCAGGAATCAATTTTTATTTAGAATTCTCAGTCCCTATATATGTGAGTTTAATTAAATTCAACATTGGCAAAACCTGATGTCCAAAGTTTTCCATTGCACATGCTCACATAATTTCAAAATATATTTAACAATAGCGTATCCTTTTCAGTGTCTGAGGCACTGACTTTTTTCTTCTCCCTTTATAAAACATTCAAACACCTCTTCACCATCCATGCTTTAATTGCTTCTTCCTGAAGCATACATCACTACAGACAAAGAGTAAAGCTTCAGTCCCTGTCTCCCCAGAACTGATCTGTATTATTTTTGAGGAATGTATGTCCCAACTGGATTTTGTTTTCTAGTTGACTGATAACAGTATAATATCCAAGTGCACCAAACAGAAATATAATATTTAATTCTCTAACAATAGCAAAATAATTCTTTAACACTGGCATCCTCTTCTCATACATCCTAAATAAGGCTTCCCCAAACTATTTTAGCCCAAAAGTTTGCACAGTAGAAACTACTTAAATAAAACAAAACTTCAACCCATTTTATACACTTTCCTCCCAATTTCTTGAGATGTGTGCACTATATATATATATATGCAGGCATTTGAATAACACAAATAAGAAAATCTTGTTATATTTAAAATCTGGATTTTCTCCCATTACCAGCAGGCTATTTTGCACACTTTCCATAGCAGTCATTCAGTTAATACTGAGTTTTCAAAGCAACACTTACTTGTTGCTTCCCATTCTGATTTACTCAAGGTTCCCTAGAAGGGGACAAAAGAGAAAAAAACAAAATCAGTTTCAACAAAAAAAAAATGAGGAAACAACAAAACACTGATTTAACTCAGGATAATCAATCTTTTGCAGACCTACTTCTAACCACCCACACTGAATGGCTATTTAGGGACTAGAAGAACTCTGCTGTAGACCACAGATACTTATAACTCCAATAACTAGAACAGTAGGGAAGTGGAACACCTCAGGTAATGAAAAACACCTAAATTACACAGGTATAGGCAAATGGGCCAAGACTCTGTTGGGCTGGATGCCTCTGCAATGCAGAGCACAGTGTGCCTTGACCTGGCTGCGGCTGCTCTCCAGTCCGAGATGCCCAATACTTGTGCAGAATTCAGGAAGAGGCCCTATATTTCACAGTGCTGCCACCTTCCCTGGGAACACTGCCTGCCTCCACCTAACACCTCCCCACAGCCCACAAAAACTACCTGAAACAGACTAACTCCCAACCCAGTTCACATTTTGTGAAAAAACAGCCTGCCTTGCAGTCTAGGAAACCTAGTCCTAGCTCAGCCTTTCAGATGAAAGCAGGGCAAGTGCACAAGTAAAAAGCTGGTGCCATTTACACTACAAATTAAGAAGCATGAGCTAACAAGCAGCTGGTTTTCTGATCTGCCTACTCCATCCCCTTCCAGTGAGTTCACAGGCATGATTTGGCCCACCTTCTACCCACTGACCAACCATGATCAAGTGATTCATCTTTTACAGTGCTAGTGAAAAAAGGCTAGTTCAAGCAGATTTCTTCTTTGTCAGGTAACATAGCACCTGGCAAAAGAGGTCTTTGGTCTGACTTGACCATTCTCATGTTCTTAAGCTTATTTCTTAAAAGAAGTGGTTTTCTTTTTAAAATTTTTACATATCAAATACAGAGAGCAAGTTTCTTTTCCCTCTTGATGTAGGATTTTTATATATAAAGTAAAAGGAATACATTTTCAAGAATTCAGAAAATGAATGGTAGATAAATCAATGATTAAAAAAAGAAGAATCCAAACGGGAAAAACTTCAAGCTGACCAGCCTCATCCTATATGTATGACAATGAAATAGGATGACATCTATCAGTAACTGCACATGATTTTACTAAAACTACAATCTTTACTCAAACTAGTCTCTTGTCAACAGGCATAAAGTTCAGACTGAAAGAGTAAGCACAGCTTATCAGGAACCATTCAGCATGAATAGTTAAGTTAAACCAACCCTTGCAAGATTTCCATCTAGCCCAGCTCCCCAAGTGCACAGACAGAAGCAAAAACACAGCTATATGCAACCCTGAATAGCTAGCCTGGCTACAGATGGAGAGGCAACAGCCAAATGGCATCAGTTCCTGAGGCAAAATGACAGCAGACATTGCCTGTCCTCCTGCTCATTTCCCAGGAACAGCAGCTGTGCAGGCTCCTGTCCATCATGAACCCAACTCTGAGACCAATACAGAAGAATGGAAGGCTGTGAGTGAACCAGCTGCAGACAACTACAACATTGTCATGTACTGTTAGGACAATGGAATAAAGAAAAACCCTTTATAAAAACATGAGAAAGATAAGAAGCTCAGGAAGGTAGTATGTGCATTAGAAGACGAGTCTAGTAGCAGAAAAAACATATTTAATTGGACCACTGATCTAAAATCTAATATGACCTCATTAAAGATGGTTCAGTATTCTTTTATTTCTGAAGTCATAAATCAAGCTGCCAAAACAGGAGAAATGCAGAAAAAAAATGTGACAAGATAACAAACTAAGTTTTGTACAAGGTAAGATTATAATCATCACAAAGAAAGTTTCTTTTCATTCCAGAATGTGAACAGAATATCATATATAATAAAATCAGGGGCAGAAATATATGGATTTAGTTTTATGCATGTAGGACTAGTCTAATGCTAGGAGCTATGTAAAAAAAAAAAAAAAAGGCAACACAGCAGATTTAAAAACAATAGCATTTACAGAACTTTAATAAAATCAGCTGAGAAGGGAGCTGGATCTTCTTCACCCAGAAAGACAATAGAAAAACCGCACTTAAGATTTCAAATACTGTGTTATGCAGTATTATGAAGAAAGTTTCCAACTCCTGTCAGAGGATAAAAGGAAGAAAACTAAAGTGTTAAATCAGTAGTATGAAGATGCAAAAACCTACAAAAATTCTTCAAATTAGGAAGAGTTATGTTAGAACAGCTGCCAAGGAAGATGGCAAAATATTTTCTCCCTTTTGCATTGTTACAAATTTCTTAATAGCTAAAAAATTAAGTAAATTTGACTCTAAGTACATGGTATAGATTAGATGAAGTCCTCAGCCCTGCAGCTCTGCAATTTTTCACATGCATACAGACATTTATACCAGTGTCACTGCAGCTGAAATGAAGAAGGCACCACATTTCCAAAAGATCAGTACACCAATTTTAGGCACCATTTGCTCTAGTGAAGTAAGAAGGAACTTACTAATGGTAACTTTGCCTTGCCATCTTTGATGAATTCTTTTGCATGCTCATAATCATCAGCTTTATCAGAAACAAGCCTGGAATCACCAAATGTAGAATATGGCTGAAGAACATAGAAAAAATAAGAAAAAAATATTAATTGCATAGAAGATACATCACATAAGTCAAGGTTTTGTCACAATATTGCCCAGAACAAAGGTCAGTTAGAGGACCTTAAATTCAGACTTCTCCTTTATAGCACTTACGAGATCAGGTCTGATATACCCGAATTGCCAGAATATCTGACAGCCAGGATTTATGAATTAACTTTCATCCTTTTATCTCCAAAATACGGGGAGTAACTATAAAAATTGTCCTCTACATACAGCTCGTTATGAGTATTACCTAGTGTCCTGGTTTCAGCTGGGATAGAGAAAATTTTTCTTCTTAGTAGCTAGAATAGTGCGGTGTTTTTGATTCAGTATGGGATTTGGTATGAGAAGAATGCTGATAATACACTGATGTTTTCAGTTGTTGCTGAGAGATCAAGGACTCTCCAACTCCCCATGTCCTACCTGTGCACAAGTGCACAAGAAGCTGGGAGAGAGCACGGCCAGAGCACTGGACCCAAACTGGCCAATGAAATATTCCATATTGTGTAACATCAGGCTCAGTTTATAAAGGAGGGGGTTCTCTCTCGCTTCTGGGACTGATTGCAGGATCTTGGTATTTCAAGATCACTAGCTGGGAACAGCCTGGGTATCAGTTGGCAAGTGGTGAGCACCTGCATTGTGCATTGCCTGTTTGTACTTTCTACTATTGTTGTTGTTTTATTCTATTTCAATTATTAAACTGTTTTTATCTCAACCTACAAGTCTCCCTTTACCCCTCCAATTCTCTCCCCCATCCCTGCAGCTGGGGAGGGTAAGTGAGCAGCCGCATGGTGTTCGGCTGCCAGCCAGGTTTACACCATGACACCTAGGTATATCCTCTTTTAAAACAGCAGCTGAACAAAGGTGCGTCTCTTAAACAGAAGTACTAAGAAATGAGCAACTGTAAGATTTCAAGCAGAATGCTTAAAATGCTTCAATAACAGAGAAGCTGTAACAAAGGACACAACTGATTCTTCAAAACTAATATACACTTATTAAGGATCTCAGTTACTGCATAATGGTCTGTACTTAACAATGCAGTCTTCAATTGTAAGTGGCCACTAATTTAAAACAGTTCTCACTTTTCTAAGGACAGAGATGATATGTCAAAGGATGTGTCACCATGCTACTGGCAATATGAGCCTATACAAAGCACAGTTACTTTCAGAGTCAACAAGGACAGTCAAGTCCACTTGCAGCCCATGTGACTCAGTTTAATAAGTCACCAGATAATTGACAATAGTTTCATGCTGAAAAATTCTACTGTTTGAGGGAGGAAGGAAACAGAGAACTGTGAGTAAAACCCAAGCCTCAGAGATGGCATTGAAAAGCTCCTCTGAAGCTGCTGAAGTCATGCAGGATAAGAGCTTGAGGATAAAAAAGCAAAAACATTTAGGCAAAAACACAAGCTCAGTTACAGTTAAGTACCATTTTCTTCTACAAACACAGTCCATCCTTTTATTCCTACAAAGATTACTTCCTGTCTTTTCAATCAATATTCCTTGCAAAGATCCAGCTTTCAGTCTCTCTCTCATGAGGAAGAAATGCATTAGTTATCACTATGACACCAGGCATGATTCTTGTGCTTCTTGCTTACTACTTAATAAAAATAAAAACTTGCCTCAAAATTTAAATTTTATCTACAAAACTGAATCACTCTATTGGGTGCTGTGCCCAGGTGATGGCAGCAGGGGCAGCCTCTGTGAGGAGAGGGCAGGGCTGTCCCATGCAGAACACAGCTGGTTCCACCAGCTCCAACAGAGCCACCACGGGACAGATCTGAGCCCCTCAGCCATGGGTGGAGCACCTCTGGGAAAGCATACTTAAGAAAGCCCAAAAATCCTGCAGAACAGCTGTGAGAGAGGAGTGAGGAAAAACGTGAAACTACCCCGCAGACATTAAGGTCAATGAAGAAGGAGGGGGAGGAGGTGCTCCAGGTGCTGGAGCAGAGACTCCCCTGCAGCCCAGGGTGAAGACCACAGTGAGGCCGGCTGTGGCCCTGCAGCCCATGGAAGTTATCGGTGGAGCAGATCTCCACCTGCAGCCCATGGAGGAACCCACACAGGAGCAGGTAGATGTGCTCTGATAGAAGCTGCAGGCTGTGGAGAGCCCACATAGGAGCAAGCTCCTGGCAGGAGCTGTGGCCCATGGAGAAGAGCCTAACCAGGCGCAGGTTGTCTGGCAGGAGCTGCAACCCTGTAAGGAACCAACCCACACTGGAGCAGTCTGTTCCTGAAGGAACGTACACCATGGATAGAACGCACACTGGAGCAGTTTGTAAAGGACTGTATCCCATTGGAGGGATCCATGCTGGAGCAGGGTAAAAGCATGAAGAGGAAGGAGAGGCAGAGACAAAGTGTTATGGACTGACCACAACCCCTCAGTTCCCCATCCCCCTGCACTATGGGGTGGGGAGAGGACGTAGAAAGGTCAGGAGTGAAGTTGAGCCTGGGAACAAGCAGTGGGTAGGATAAAGGTGTTTTTAGGTTTGTCTTTTTCTCCTCACCATCCTACTCTTTTTTGTAATAAATTAAATTAATCTTCTCCAAGTTTAGTTTGTTTTGCCCATGACAGTAATTGCTAAGCAATTTCCCTGTCTCTATCTTAACCCACAAGTTTTTTTTCTTATTTTCTCCCCCCATCCTGTTGAAAAGAGGGAACAAAAGCAAGTTGGTGGGTGTCTGGCAGCCAGTCAAGGTCAACCCACTAGTCACACTTTCCACCTGTGAGTTTAGTTCTTCTAATGGTAGCCTTTAATTAATTGCACAATGTTCACAACGGGAATCTAAATTATTGCACAAATAATTAACAAGATGTAAAATGCTATTTAAATGAAAGAAGTTAACACTCCATATTTACCTCCAAAGCCTGCATTCTCCTTAACAGCATTTTATGCTCCTCATTCTTGGTTTTTTCTTCATAGAATTCCCGAAATGTCATTTTGTAGACTAATTTCATACCATGCTTCTTTGCCATTCTGTCAAAATAGTAAGCTTAATTAGGGAAGCCACAAAATTATTGTAGTTTTATTTTCAAAGGAACAATTTTATACCACAGTGACATCTTATGGTATTCACTAGCATTACACTCTGTCTAGAATTTGCCTTTTTAGTAAAGACATTTAGATGAAAACAACTGCACTACCACCACAAACTGTACTTTTTTTTAATTAGGACAACAAAAATCTACACAGAAGAAATTTACAAACATTTTAATAGAAAACATTTGTTTTCCCAACACACAGAAGTAAGTTCCATTTGAGCTACCAGACAGACTTTGCTATTTTCCCTACAGTATCATCACCCTGTCACATCAGCTACTATGGATGTATTTAGAGAACCTATTTTGTTAGATTTAGGGACTTACATCTCAATTATATGTAGACACTGCAGTCGTACACCACTGAAGTTACAGGTGTCAGTGACAGATATAGTTCTCTATAAAATATACTAACAAGTGAAGTGTGTGAAAATAAACAGGTTTTAAGGTAAAGCTTCATATTGTTTAACAACCGTACCGAGCTAGAACAGCATGAAAAAACCCAACATGGAATCATTTGCCTGTACCTTGGGAGACAAGCTAGGAAGGGCAAATCTGAATTCACACAGAGGTCACAGCAAAATATATGTTCACGGATGAAGAAGATTTAAAGGAAGAAAAAATAAGTCATAGGAAAAATCCTATGAACATCCAAAGAAAGTTAGAGAAGGCAAGAGGCACTGTGATGAAGAGGATACACAAGAAGGCTTGCTAAAGGACTAAAGAAAGGTAGAATGAAATCCCTTGAAAAGTTAAGATTAAAGAAGAAAAAGTTGACAGCAATAAAGGTTTGTCAGCAGATCCAACATATCAGGTACAGACAGTCTCATCTGAGACCTAGTTTAAGTCTTCACAGCTTCTGACCAGAGCATCTTCAACTGAGTGCAATGGACAGAGTACAGTTCTGGATGGAAATGCAAGAAATCACTGCATTTGGAGCAACAACAAAAAATTAAGAATTTAAAAGTATAGTAAGACATCCAAAATTAAATTTTCTGCAAGTATTATGCTGTGACACATAAACTAAACAAATGCTTATTATGTTTCACAGCTTTCATTGTGTAAAGAATTCAAAACTTAACTTACTCTTCTAGTAGTGGAAAGTAAACCAAGAACTCGGGAACATCAACCACTTCTTCCAAGTGGAAGTCATACTTGCAGCCAAACAAGGGATATTCTCCCTTCTTTTCAAATTTTACACTGTATACCTCATTCCCAAATGAGTTTGTTTCTGAAGCTTCAAGTCGCTTTCTATAAAATGAGATATAAACAAACATGAATTGACCAGTTTTCACTTTAATAGACAGAGAAAACTATATGTAAGAGGCCTGAAGGTGTTTCTCCCAGTACTACAGCATTCATTGTGATCTCTGTAGTTCCTCACCTCCTTTATCTAATAAGGCAGTGAAACAATGAAATATGAAGAGAAGCAGCACACTAGGTTTTAACAGCTTATCATTCCTATACAACATACCAAGGACTAAATGGACCCAGAAAATTAACCCTTAGCCCAGACGCAGTCTATATGGACAAGCAGGGCTTCTTGGAACCACCACAGCAAAATCCTGACAGTTACTCCCCAGGCTGTGGCTATTTTGCCGGTATTTAAGTCACGACAGAGGGTTTATGCACAAAGATCTGTACTCTATACCAGGAAAGCCATGGGTGCAAGAGATAAGGATTAGTATAGATTTACCTGTTTGAGTCAAGTTCACGAGTGACATTTGCCTGACTAGAATCCAGACTTGTTACAAAAAAACTTGCTTTTGTTTGCACAAACTGTAAGAATGACTATCACTTAACAATGCTTCACAGACTTTCGAAAGACTAATAGAATATAAAAGTACTCACACAAGTTCAAAGCTATTTGGAGTTGTGCCAATGAAATACCCTCCAGGAGAGAGGTTCCCACAAGCATTTTTAAGCATCATGTCAGCCTGCTCATATGTCTCAAATGAGTAATGGTAAACAAACTGACAGCTGCAAATGTCAAAGCGCATATCTGGATCATTGTATTTGGAAGACAAGAGATCCTGAAACAGATTAAAAAGAAAAAAAAGTTCTAACAAAAGCTACAGAAACAAGCACGATTCACTTAAATCTTCCAACAATTATGTTATTCCCGCAATGCTTTGAAGTTTTTCTTTCCAGCCTCCATTCCTTCACAAGTTCAACAACAACAAGATGAAAAAGATAAGAGTAAGAAAAAGTCCTCTGCTACACAGAAAACCATACACAGCATTTGGGAACAAGAATACACATACAAAGTTATCATGTCCTCAAATCCTTTTCACATTGTCAAGTAACACCATTACACTCGAAAGGCCAAAACCCAAGGTTAGTTACCTAATATTTTTCAGAGATATTTTACTGATAAGGGTTTATAACTGGCCACAGTTTAGCTGGAAACGGTTATTATAATAAAATGAATTTTCAGTTTACTAAGTCTCTGTAATGAGAACTCACCCATTAAACATATAATTGAAATGAGGAGGGATTGTTTTAAATGTGGCAATTTGCACTGCTCACCAAGTTACATTATTTGTCTGTATTGTCACACACGTGCATACATGTGTACCATGTACTTGTCCCACCCCAGACCAAGTAACCAGTAATTCTGAAGAACTTGGAGCCCTTCAAATTTGTCAGGTTAAAGCCTTGCCACAGTTTGATCCTGTAACTCAGCAGTTCTCTTAACTCTTCTTGATCAGGCTTCTTTTATACAATACTAGTAGCCACCATAAATAACACAGGAGCACACAAGTCTACCCTGAGGCCCATCATACACATTCCATGCTTAAAATATGTCACACTTAACAGTTCTACTCGAGTTTCTCTTCTCTCCCAGATGTCCCATCCACCCACTCCCAGACTCCCCCAGTTCATGCCACATACTGTCAACATTTTGTACATGGCAAGACAAAACCGGACATTTCACATACCCATAGCAATTTTATCTGTTCATTTACTCCACCCACACATTTTGAGAAACAAAGATAATGGAGAAACAGAAATGGGCAGAATTAGACAAGCTGCGAGAATGAGATTTTGCACTATATATAACATAGATGATAGAGATACAAAGTTAGGGAGATGAACTTTTGTGTGCATGAACAGACAGAACAGAGCATGCAACAGAAGATACGTGTGCATATAGGACTGAGCTGTAACAGCAACATGAAAAATATCCCTTTCTTTCCTGGCCAAGGTTCCCTCCTCTCTCCTTTGACTGCAATTTTGAGTCAAGTGAGATGACCTAGAACCTGCAACAGATTTTATTCCTCAGGAGAGGCAACCAATAACTCAGGCAAATAACACTACTACAAGGCCAGAAGAACAGGCTCAGCCTTTCCACAGATATGCTTGAACCAAACAGGCTCTGACCCTCGGTCTGCATTTCTAGGAAGCAAAAGCAGTGCTGGTCATAAGAGTGTCTTACAAGCCTCAGCAACATATTCACTATCACCTCCAGACAAACTAAAAAACCTGCTATTATCATACACGTTTTGAAGATATGTACTATAGTAATTAAAGTGCTGCCAGAAAAAAAAAATACTGGGATAAGGAAAATGTACAAGTCAAATCAGAAAGCAACCCTTGTTCATTTCAACATAAAAACACATTCACCGAGATAGTTTTCAGCATCCTGTGCTGGCTCCTGCTGGTCAGGTAAGCCCCCTTGTCAAGTGAAAGAAACTGAAAGCACCAGATTTACTACCTGGAAAAGACATTCAGGCTTCAAGAATGTTACACTGTAAAACAGTAACAAAATGCACTTAACTACATCTTACGTAACTTTTCAGTAGCCCATATGGTTGATTCTCTCCACAGTACAATAATCTGATCTTAAAAATACATGCCCAAAGTATTACAGCATGACCATCACTCCTATGCTGGCTAAATAAAAGAATGATAAATCTTCAAATATTACAAAGCATAGGAACTGTACCTTGGTACTATCTGCCTGTATAAATTCTGCATCAAAGATATGCTCGTTATAACGACATCGGGCTTTCATGTCTTCGTATCGCTGCTTGCACTGTTGCACAGAAATGTCAGCAATATCTATGTACAGAGAAATTAAAAAAGAAAACAAGTGCGTAAATGTCTCCCCAGACAAGAAAACTGGAATGTTTACTGGAACACAGCAGATCCACTATGGCAAGGGTAAAAATTGATCTTCAGTTACACTTTGAGGAAAACAACCACTTTTATTTCCAATTTGTAGAAAAGGAATTTAATCTGCAAGAGGTGTTTGGGATTATAGCTCTTTGCCATTTTCAGTCTTATCTTTAAGACAAAACTTTTCATCTTAAGATTTTAGAAAGCCCCCATCCTCAAAAGTACAAAGCAAACCTCCAAAATTTCAAGTGATGGATACTAGGTGATTGATACTAAGTGCTGTCAGCATTGACTAGTATGCATTAGCTAAAACAGTTCAGCACCCAGGGTTTCTCACAGTACTGAAAGCTCTTCAACTTACAAATATACACGATGTTGAAATGCAATTATTTCTGATATACACTGATATATTGCATCATAGGAAATTTTTTTTAATTTTCTTTTTAAGAGTGTTCCTCTCGAGCATCGAGTTTCACTGAATAGTAAGTCTGCATAAATTTTAAAACAATATGCAATAAATTTATGTAAGAAGTTTGTAATTGATTACTTTGTAAGTAATTAATTGTATTTGAAGACTGCCAACTGAAAAAGGCAAGAACAAACTATAAAAAGTAGAATACCCACTCCCACTAAAAAAATCTTTATGAAATTTTTGTATCTAATTAAATTTGAAGTAATACTTCTTGTGATTATCCTTGGGATATCATCTTCCCTTTTCCCAAAAACTATCTCCCTTCAATATCTAAGCAAACTATCTAAACAAAGTATTTTTTTATTCAGCTTTCAGCTCCTCCCCTTTCTGAGTCTGAAAACCTTTTGTTGATTGTAACATCCAAGACCATTTTTTGTCACAACACTGTGGGGTTTATTTGTTTTTCAAGTGCAACTCTTCACTGTGTTTTCAGAACAGTCAAAAACACTACAAGAGATTAGATGTGGGAGAAAAGACATAAAATACAAAACGTCAGTCTTTTCCCCTGTGCTACATTTTGCCTAAGACAATCTGGGGCAATTGTGCGTTTCTTCAGTGGCACTAGTTTTTATCTGTGAGTTGAACTGAAAGCTAACTACACAGAAAATCAATGGTTCTTATATTTATGCTGGCAATCAAGTTGAAATATTCTGGTTAAAACACAAAAGACTTTTTGACAGAAGGTGTATCATTGCATTTTTGGGTTTACTTAAAAAAAAAAATAATAGAAGACTGGAAATGTGCTTAGTTTTCACATAAAACAGTAATGTACTTTCCCTGGAAAGTTAAAGTTATTGTGTCATCTTACCAGTACAGACAAGTTTTTTAATTCTGCCTTTTTTCCATTTCAGTAAGTCTCCACCTTTGCCACATCCAAGATCCAAAACAGTTATATCATTCTTTTTCCGTCGTACCCGGTCTATAAATTCACCTAGAAAAATAAAGAGAGTGAACACATATACAGGTGTCTCTAGTGTATTTGTATTGGATAGAGGAGCCTAAAGGTCCAAAAGCATTTGACAATTTTAGAACACCTCAGAATTTACTTTGCCTGTAAGTCTTCTTAACATTATGGACTTAAATCTTTCTAGAAACCACTAATGATGAGAGGAACCACAAACTTTTAAAACTATGGACAAGAAAATGAATATTTTCTGTGCTTTGACTGGAGCTCTGAACCGTTTCCCTGGCAGACAAAGGCAAAACTGCACATTGCTAAACCACCACTCTGTTCATGAGTAGGGAAACAGAGTTCCCTTTCATTACCATTATAATGAAGACAGATGTTATTTGAAAGCATGGGAAAGCCTTTTCCAGAAGAGTAAAAGCCAATTAAATACATCAGCCACAACATTTCCTTGTGGTTGCATTACAAAAATGCATAATGTTTTCCACTCATTCTCCTAGGCCTTGCAATAACATGAGCTATTTGTTTGCTGTCGTTTTACCACACATATACCAGTTTCATTTTCTCTTCTATCTCCACTCTGACTGATGTTGGCATATTAAACAAAACATATCAGCATGCTAACAACTTTTCTTCACAGTAAGAGACATATGTTTTGATACAACCGCTGTAATACCACACTACTGAAATTCATCATGACAGAAAGTCTTCAACAACAGCTTTATATAAACCTAAAAATTGCTTCTAACTGCTCTGATACAACACAACAAAAAGCAGCATGCTAAGATAAATGGTGCCAACATCTCCTGGCATAGATCCCGCTTCATGGATCCGTGGTGCTGTGCTGATAATTCTTTTGTTTGCAGGTATCTGATGGTTTTGTTTCCTCACTTTGGAATTAATTTTGGGGACAGCATATTTTTCCTTTTATAAAAAGCTGCTGATTCTTAAAGAACTACATCCTCCAGCTTTTCATCTCTTAAGCCACTGACTATGGGTAATACAGAAAATATTTATGTGTCTAAGTTCCCTGCAGAATTGCTTAATTGAAACCTGAGGACAGACTTTGGGAAAATGGCTAAGAAATTATTTGAGATAGATTTAAATAACAAGAACATATTTTCTTGTTAGATTTAGCTGGATTCTTTATGATTTAAAGCTGTATCATCTTCTTTTAAAATGTAATGAAGAACAGTTTCCAGTATGGATTTCTTTTACTTTTCAGGTCAGTTGATCTTTAAAACTTTAGCATACATTTGGCACTCCAACAATATAAAACACTATCACAGAAATTCAAAATAAAAATAAATACAGATATTTTATTGGACTTCAAAAATCTTACTTCATATTAAGAGACAAAGTACCATAATCAACATCAGAAAGCAGAAAAAGTTACATTTTGATACCAAAACTAGTTACATTTTATTAAAGTTTAAGTGATCAATTAAGGGAAGCTTACCAATGAGGACGCTCTTTGTCCAATTATTAAAGTTTCGGAGGTAGAATATGCGAGACTGGCTACGTTTTTCCAATCCAACTTCTTGAAGTTCATTATAATGTGCAGCTACAGCTTGCCCATGTCCTATCTCACGCTGGAGAAATAAGGGAAGGAATAGAGTCTAGCAGTGAATTCTTTTTATTACTTTTTCATTTAATCAAATGACATGTGTTCACTTTAAGGATTTAAGAAAGTAGACAAGAAATACTATGAAGAACACCACTCATATATAGAAAAACATTTCCCATATCTGACCTGGTACTGACATCAGCACTTGAATTATCAGAGACAATGCCCTTCAAAATTTAATCCCCCTTTCAGTTGGTCCAAGTAGTTTCTGATGGATGATGACCAGCATCTTTCCTTTACAGAAGTATTTAACTTTCAGTTCTCTAATACTCTCACCACTCTCAAAGAATCAGTTTAATTCCCCTTAAACCTGGGATTGAAGATGATGTTCCTTCTCGGGGAACTTTAAGCTTCTTCAAAAATCCCATTTCAGAAATTCAGAGTTTACATCTAACAGAAGTGTATAACTCAGTTTAACCACAATGCCAACTGGTTGATGTCGCATAAAGCCCTAAGTGGATGATCCCACTGCCAGAGCTTTAAACAGACCATGGTAAGGGAATGAGAGTAATGACTTGACAATGTATCCCATTTGATGCTTAACAGTTAGCTGCAGAAACGTGTCTCAGCCTTGACTGTAAATACTCCAAGAGATTTCTGTTCCATGTAACACAGAGAAGCAGTCTACGTCCAGATATTATGCTCTTAATATTTCTTCACCTTGAAAGGAATCTTCAACTACATGCATAAAATTAAAGTAAATTATAAATACAATATAAAGTAACAGAGCATGGAAAACCAACACAAGTTCTGTGAGGCACAAATGCATTTGAAATAACAATACAAACTAGAATGAAGATTCTCAGTTAAAACGCACAAGTGTGCTACACAGCCCCAGCCAGTACAAATTCACACAGCAATTAAAAACATTCCCAACAGTTGACTACAAAAGTCAACATCCCCACATCGTATTTGCGGAGCCGCAGACGAACAACACGCCGAGACGGGTTCAACGTGGAAGATAGAGCATCAATCCACGTGTGTGTTTATTGGTCCAGGGTACATACATTTATACAGACAATGATAATTATTATGCCTACTAGTCACTAGCTGATTGGCTTAAGCTCTAAAGGTCGTATTCGCACGGTCCACCTACTTGCAGTTAGCTTACAGCACAAGCTTCTCATAACACTAAGTTTCTCATGTTACTATTTCTGATTCCTCTTGACTTGTTTTCGATACACAACAGTACCATAACACAATGTTTCTCAGACCACCGTTACCATAACACTGGGTTTCTCAGACCACTATTCCCAATTCCCCTTAGCCTGTTTTCGACACACCACGGTACACAAGGCCAAAGCGTCCTTGACAATCTTCATGTATCAGCAGCTGCGAGCAGCTGCAGGCAAACCCTAGTGAGGCCCAGCATCAGCGAGGCAGCATCAGCCCCTAGAACAGGCTCTGATCGTACAATTGCTCGGTGGGCTCAGGACCCTTGCCTCTGAGCCATTCTCCAACACTTACTCAAATAGCAGTTCCTCAAGAGAAAAGATGGTTTGACTGACTATAATATACTACATGAATTCTTCAGTGTTTCATATAATTTTGGTAACATTCAGAATGAACACAGACATGCTTGTCTGGAATCTCTATGACCCCATCATCTGTTTATTACCACACTCAGCTGACTGATACTAACAAATATTTTGACCATTTTTACTCTTTTTTAAGGTAAGGACAGATGGCTCCCTGAATGGACACTGAGGGTGACGTAAGCTAGAACAGCTGACTTTGACAAGTGTGGGTGATGTATTCATACAAACCATTAACACATCCCAGCTGCTGCAAGCACAGTTGCAAACAGTCATCAGCAGTAACATCTAGATGCTGGCAGCTGCGCTCAATGCAGTCACCTCTCTACACCCTTAGGCTACACAAAACCAATGTATTTCTTATTCATCTAAACCTTATCCCAGAACTACCTTACTGAAGAGATTAAAGGGTTAATAATGTTTCTACCACAAGAAAGGGCACCCTTTATTTTACCAGATTACTTAGCCATAAATTAGCGTCCTCAAAAAAATTTGGAGAGAAACCAAACACTGGGTCAAAGACATTTTCAAATTATACTTAAATGTCCTAACAGGTCAAAATTAAACTTGATATTACAGCATCAGTTTCTACAAGCAGATACATAATAAAGGACAGTGTCATATAAAGCATTACCCTTTTCACCCTCCCAGTAAAAAGGACAAATATTTTCTGCTACTCTTGTAGTCATTAAAAAAAAAAAAATATCAGTAAACCTTTCAGTACTTCACTTTGCCAACAAATCAAACTGAAATTATATCACAGATGATGCAGTTTATAGTGTTTTTTATCTTACGGAAAAACCTCCCATGTACAGATAACTATACTAACAAACAGGGTAACAACATACAAAACATACGAATTCAAGATACAGGACTTGGACTAATGCCAGTAAACCCTATGCTACAACATCAATGATGGAACAAGTCTTAGAATTAGACTAAGCATGTGCTGAGAATTTTTCTTAACATTGTAATTACTGGCCCTCTTTCTCTTCTGTTAAGCCCAACATAACTTATGGACCTGTTATTTTGCTAGGAAGCTAACAACAGACTTTGACATTTGGTGTTTCACATTGGTGTTCGCATTTAGTACAAACGTTTTCAAACTTTTCCTGAGCTAAGGCTTTGAAACAAGGATTTGAACATACGTCAAAATGGATGATACTCACTAATTTCTTAGGAGGTTCATCTTCAGGCTCTAAAGTCTTCTTTTTTGCTCTGCTGTCCTGACTGCCACTATCAACTTCTTTTTCATTTTCAGTGGAGTGCACTGTACCTGAAGTTGAACTATTGTCTTCCCAACCAATACCCGAATCTGCCTCTAAAGTACGAGGTGTTTTCTCCACTTCTCCATCCAAACTCTTCTCTACTTCCTGTTCTTCCGCCTTGGTTAAATCAGCCATTTTTGACAGGTTAGTCTCCTTGTACATTGATCAGAATGGAAATCTACAGAGGGAAAAAAACCCCACCAACTATTTTCAGTGTTGAATTTCACTTATGGTTATGATCATGACTTTCAATCGTAATATTTGCATTATAAAAAAAATAACATGCCTTTTCCCTAGACAATACATAAACTTCAAACTTGCTTAGTTAGTTAATAAAGATAGCACAATAAAATATGCAGAATTTCAAAATTCTCTCATTATAATAAGACTAAACTAAGATAAATTTTTACTCTTCATGTTTAGTCTTTCTTAGCTATCTTTACCAATTCAACTGCAATATTTATTGGCTTTGAGCCCCTAATCTCCCTTTTCCCCTCCCCATAAAAAGTAACCTGCAAATCACTTCATGTTTAGAAATACAAATTAGTCCCTCAAATTAGTAAATTCATTATTTAATCTGGTATGCTTTCAAATGGATGTCCTCAAACAAAAAAATCAAGGTTGTTTTTAAGAGCAAGCTTTTGTATCAGTTGTGGATTTTCAAGTTTGCTGAGAATGTCCTCTATGCCTCAAACTTCAGTAATACTAGGAATCTTCAGCTGTAACTGCATTTCTGTATCTCCACAAATATCTACCCAGTCTGCCTGACTACAAAGCTCATTTAGTCTCTAGCCCATCTCAGCCTTCTTTACACCATCATCACGAAGCAGGTGCCTACTTTTTAATAAGGCATAGGAGAGGATAACTTGGCAACCCTTCTTCTGAAACAGTGGCCCATTTCAGTCTAACAAGAAACACACACGCCACTGTACCCAGGCTTAAACCTCCTAATGAGGGCCAGGACACGTTAAGCCGACCACTATGCAGAGACCCCAGAACAGCTTTCCTCAAAACTGATGGCCCCTAAGTATAACTTACAGAAGTAGCTTTTCCACTACAGTACAGCATCTAACTCACACTTCCAAAGAGGCTCACCCTTTATTTTCACCCGGCTGATCCAAGCAGTTTGCCAGGTGCTTTTAAGACCTAAACTTAGAAGCGATCAGGATTTCGTAACCACTGACGGCAAGGAAGCGCCCAGGAGAAAGGGCAGCTCTTCCTCCGGCAGAAAAGCTGGGGAACGCGAGGCGCCAGGGGAGCAGGTCGGGACGCGCAAAGACACGGCGGAGGCCGCGGCCCCGCAGGTTCAGCTGCGACACGGGAGGGCTGCGCAGACGGAGGGGCGCGCGCCCCAACGCCGGCAGCAACGGAAAAAGCGCGCGCCGCCGCGCCGCCACCCAGAGGCCCCGGCACGGCCGCAGCCCACGGCCGACGGCCCCGCCTCGCTTCCCCCCCTCCCTGCCCAGGCTGTCCGTGGGGCCGGGGACTCACCCCACACCTCCCGCCTCGCCTCGCCTCGCCTCGCCCCACGTACCCCACGTCGCCCGCCCGGGAGGGCGAGCGGCACTCACCCGGCCTAGTGCTCCGCCATCTTGTTTGCGGAAGTGACGCCACCGCAGCGCGCCGGCAGGAACGGCGGTGTCACGGCTGGGGGGCGGGAAGGGAAGGCGGCGCGGCGCAGAAAGCGTGACGGGACTGCGCGGCCCAGCAGGAGGGGAGGACTACGAGCCCCAGAAAGCTGCGCGACGGGGGTAACGATGCGCGCATGCGCCATCGCCCCGCCCGGCCTCAAGGTGATGGTGGGGACGGGAGCTGCCGCACGTTGCCTGGCCGCGCGCGCGGGGCGGGTAGGGGGAGGTGCCGGGAACGGCGCGCGCGGGAGCAGCCGTTGGTCAGCCGCCGCCCGGCGCGTCTCCATGGCTCGGGGCCCGTGAGGGGAGGAACGGTGGCTCGGCCACAAGGTACCCGCTCGGTGGGGCCGAGGGAGAGGGGCTGCCAGCCGGGAGCGGGCGAAGGCGGGCGCGGGCGCCTCCCGGAGCGGGGCCGGTGGGGAGCGGCAGGACCTGCGGTCGTCGGGCAGGTTCCCCCGCCGCGCACGGGACCCCCCGCGCAGTCCTGGGGGGTTGGGGTGACAGACCTGCGGCCGCCGGTGGCCGGGGAGGACAGTCCGCTCGGAGGCGCCGAGGCGGAAGGAATGCCTGCCTGCTCGGAGCGCCGTGCCTCCCGCTGGGCTGCTTTCGCTTTTGCAAACTCTGGGGCCGTTCTGTCTGGCGTGAAAAATGTCGGCCGCGAGTCTCTGACAGTTGTAGTCGTTAAAGGGCCGTAGCTAGGTTATGCTCCTTAGGGTGTTTCTCTCCCGGGACGACTGATTCTGCGCATGTCTTGGCTTTTTAGACTCCTTAAAGCGGCTGCACACATTTCTTCTAGTAGAATAAATGTTTCGCACGGGGTTTGGTGTCTCGCTTGTGGCATGTGACAAATACGAGCAGAGGGCTGGCTTCCCTCAATAGGAGAATCTCAAAACTGAGAAATAGGACTTTTGCTCCTCTTATCTGTTTGCTAGTGAAACTATGTTTTCTTGCTCATCTTGAGATTTCAGCACATTTTTCTCTGACATTTCTAGCTTTGGGGGTCTCTGAATCCATAGGAGGAAGCGGCTGGCTGAGTGAAACACAACCCTCTTGGCAAAGTTGCATAGCGTTACGGTTCTCATTAGTAATCAGCTTCTGATAACTGACCGTGGTGAGTTATCCAGACTGAGAAGTCGTAAGAATTTTTGTTAATGCTGTTAAATCAAATGTCAGGTATCATAAACTGCATGTTCAGCCTCATTTATGTCTGTTAATGAAATGCCTTCTACAAGCTGGACCAAAAGAGACAACGTTAACTTGGAAAGTAATACATGAAGTGGCCTAGAATTCCTTACCAAAACTAATTCTTAAACTTGACCATGTTTCTCAATTTACCTAAACGCCAAGATGCTATTGCTGTTACAAGTATAAATGTAAAATGATTTGCCAGAGTTTTGCTGCTTTAGAGAGAGATGGGGAACAGGACACATTTAGAACGTGTCTTGCTGCCTGTGCTGCTAGCTTATGTGATTTGCACCTGCTTCTGTGTGGGAAATGCATGTACAGGGGATAATGTGTCCCGACCATTCATATCCTCCTATGGGGTTGACAGCAGGTGTTTGTCTCCTTTTCTGCTCAAGGGCTGTTTGAGGTAAAAGGGGTATGACTGGCCTCTGTGGCAGCATTATTGAATTGCACTAGCTGCTTGAGAAGCACTTCCTTCGGGGAGGTAAAAAAAAATAATTGATGATTTAGGTAGGTGGACATCAGGTAGCTTGCACTTGACAAAAACTGAGGAGGCAAAGAGAGTATGTAAGGACTATAGGAAGGTAAAGAATTGTTTAGCATAACTGTCTGCAGGTCTACCTCACAGACTATAGCAGCTGATAAGAAGTTTGATCTGTTTTTGGTTTTTAAAATGGTCCGTGTAATTCTCCTGTTGCAGATGACCTCTTCTGCAGATCAACTGACCTAGCTCTCTGTGTATACTTATAGATATCACTAAGAAACTGAAGTCTGTTTTTGCAAGACAGGGAGTTCTTGATGTCCCCTTATCTCAGATGACAGCCCTCAGTTTTCATCTTGACAAGCTTCTGGATCTGTGAGGTGTTCTGACTGGTCTTGAAGATAAAGCCACAACAAATTCAATGACAAAAGCAGTAAGAGCACTGATTTTTAAAATGTGAAACTGCTAATTGAAACCATAACATTCCTTGCAGTTGATTAGTTTTGCAGATTAGGAGAAAGATCCAACATAGTTCTTGTTGGTGTTGATAGACTGTGAACCCATATAGTTGAAGCTGACTACTGTTCAAGTTACAGGACTCTTTATTAATTTTTAATTTTAACCTCTAAGAACCACAGATTATTTATTCTTCAAGTTGCTGTCATTATAAGAAAATAATAGTAAGAGTAGAAAGTTATTAGTTAGTTAAAAAATCCTTATGATCTATTGTGATGATAACTTCCTAAGTTCAATTGATCTTGAAGGTACCAGTGCAGGTGTGTTAAGTCCAACAGACTTTGTTCACAATAAGTCAAGAATTTATTGCTTCAAACTGTGGAAAAACTATGGAACTACGGTTTGACCAGGTGCTACTACGCCAGATTGGTGTACCTAGTTATGTTAGTCCTCCCATTTTTTATCTGTCTTAGTAAGTAAGCAGTCAAGGCACTTTCTCCTTTAAGGCACTGGCATTATACAATAGGGCTTTACCTGTGTTGGTTTCTAGACTTCTGCAGCACAAATGGTAATGATCTATGTTATCATGAACCTGGTGTTTCCTCTGAACAGCTCCAATCCTTTCTACCACAGCACCTTCCATCACTCCATTCTCCCCACATCTTCTTCAAACTGGCTACTCATTGTATGATTCAGCAAAAAATTAAAGTTTTTTGTTCTGTTTCTAGACACGACACTGTTCCTTCTAAACAAAGATGTTTGAATGGTAAAACTAGGTCTTACTCTGTGCACATCAAAAAATGAAAGTGCCGCTTAGCTGGGCTGTAAATTTTAATTCCATGGATCTACTATTTGATCTTGTCCAGAAACTGACCTTGACCATGTGCTACAGTTCTTCTATAACCAAAACAAGAAGTTGTGTGGCTGGGATTGTGGCTTTGTAGAGCGTTTTAGCAGATGATCCCCTGCAGATCTCTAGAATTTGTGTATTCTGTCCTTACGGAGTGGGATGAGGAAAGGGAATGGGAGTCAATCCAGTCAGGTGCTCATGAAGAAATTATAAAGCACAGCAGTAGTTTTTTCAAAGGGATGGATTTTGTTGGTTCTAAATAAAAATATGTGAGTGGATTTACAGGAGTTCTAGAAGTCTCTTCCAAAAGACTGGTGAGAAGACTTGAGTAGAACATGAGGGCACTTATCTTTTAACTGTAATAATGGTATTGCTTAGCCCCCACGTGTCCCAGTCAGTTAACTATTTGCTCTTAATATTTTGTAGATTTAAAAGGTGATTTTGCTGATGTTAAAATTAGATGGCATCTTTTGCTTCCTGCTGTCTCAGACCATAGGACATCACTTTCTGACAGAAGGATGCTTCTGTGATGAAACACAAGCCTTGGGCTTTGTTGCTCACATCTCATAGAATGCAGTGTGCTTCCAAATGTTGCAGTCACAGGATTCATTTCTCAGCCTGAATACAGCAATGTAGTAAATCTGCTACCTCAGGTTGAGCGGGAGCGTTATTAGGGTCCTATTACTGAAGTCCCATCAGAGTTCCTTCTGGTATATAAAGACACAGCTCTGTGTGACTGATGCTTTTTCAAAAACATGTAGATGGTGTCATGTTGTTGTTTGCATGGCTGACGATGTTAGCAATCATGTCCTCTATGCAAAAGATGCTGTGTAAGGCAGTAAACTGAACAGTGGGCAAGAAAATTTATCCACTTGGATATCAAGACCTTAATAAAAATAATACTTCTTTCATCAGAATAGTTCACATTCATTTGTAGAGATGTGGGGAATAGCATTTACTAAAAATTAGATGAAGAGTGTGGTTTTCAGCATGTGTGTGTTCTGTAAATGTTATGATCAGCCTCTTCACACATAATTTTTCAAGATATTCTGATTGATACTACACATATTTCCCCATATGGACAAGTTTGAATTCACAACAGAGAATTCAACACTTACTTTGAATATTTAGAAAAGATTTATACTGGAAGTGAATGTCTGCCAACACTAATTCTGCTGAAAGATGAACGTTCTGTATTTTTTGCTGGGAAAAATGACAGCTTTTCAGTGTTTGAAAATGTGAAATAAATGTAGCGAGAGAGTAAAGGGAAAAAAATCATGAACCTAATGCTTCCACTGTGAATTCTGTTCTTATTGAAGCTGTGGGTTTGTTTTTGTTTTGGTTTGGGTTTTTTTTCAGTTTGGGGCCGGTTTACATTTATTCATACTTTGCTCCTAATTGTAAGGCTTCAGAGTTTTTCCCTGAGCATGTTTTTGAAAGTCTTAGAAGCACTTTGGGCACATTTGACACGTAAAAGATTAGTTACTTGGTAGGGGTTGTTGTTTAAGTGTTTTGTAAAATTGTTACATAATGTAATTTTCATTTAAAACATTATTACAGCCAGTACTGTTGATTACGATTGGGTTATGGAAGCCAGAGACACAGAACAATGAGACAAGACCTGCGAAGATCCAAGGTGGCAAAAATGGCATTTGTCAAGACCAGAAAAGAAACTGTTTTGGTAGTCACAATGCAAGATGAGGCAGAAGGCTGTGCATAGTTGATGCTAAGATCTAAGTTTAAATGAATTCCTAATAAATGCCTTTTACAAGTAGTAAAGAGAAAGTATTTGAATACCTAAGCTCTTATTCTATGGTATGTTCAAACAGGCTGAACTTTATTTGGGTTAGCACTATTTGTTTTAGTGAAAGTCACAGTATCTGCAGCATGTCTCCCGTTGTTTCATTAGACCTTTCAGGAATAAATATTTGATTAAAACTCCAAGAGCTGTTTAAATTAAATATTATAATCTAAATTTTATATGTCAGTGAAGTCCTGAGTGACCAGAAAGACTACGAATTAAAAAATGGGCTTGGCTACTAGAATCCAAATTGTGAATAGCGGGAAGTCTTGAACAAGCTGGAGTTCCATTTTTGTCTGCAACCTATTGACTGTTATTGATTGTTCTGTTAGTGAAAAGAGATGTTCACAGCAGCTCTGAACTCTAAAGAGAGTTGGCAGAACTTCAGAAAAGAAATATGTGAACCCTGAATATAGAACTAATAGTTACATTTCTGATGCCTTCCAGCATGTGTTAAAGTGTAGAATCAGAACTCTTGAGATGCTCAGTGAAAGTTGAAAGAGGTGAGGAATCTGCCAAATAAAGTTCAACGAACTGTCAAGAGGGGAGATCCTAAGAGATTCTGAAAAAATATTTTGGTGAAGTGTAGAAAACTGATCTATGTATTTATTAGTGTTTTAGCGTCCAACTCCTCACCAGTTGTGGGTCTTTTTCTGCATGACTTCAAAGCCATATGCAAGAAACTGCTGACATGAGGCTTGCTTATGTGAATTACCTTTTGCAGCCCCTTTCAGTTATTTAGCAGAAACTTCCCACTTCTTTATCTGCACCACCACACACACACACACTCACACCAGCCACACCTCTGTTAATGGCACTCTAGCTGAAAACCCTCTGACAGAAAAACAGAAGTGTTTTGAGAGGAATAAACTAACGATGCGTTGGCAGATACAAGGATGAAAGAGGCTATTAGGGGTTGCTTGGGAAAGTTGCTACCTGAGAGTGGAAATGAGAGCAAATTAGATCTTATTTTGATTAGCTTAAAGTGAAAGGTAATGTGCAGAAGGGCAAAATAATAAGCAGATGAGTACAATCCCTGCTTTGAACTAACAAAGGGCTTTTTAACCTTTTTAACGTAGATGTATATGCCTATTTTTAAGCTTAGTTAATGTCTAAAAGCATAACTTCTCAAACTTGCTTATTGCAGATGTGTCTATAGAGTGACAAATGGACAAAACCCCAAATAAGATAGCACTTCAAAAGGCAGGTGTTATTCCCCTTCCCTTGACATGTGCATATTACTTTGGGGGGATCTGGAACCAAAACAGAAGATGATCCAGCAAGTTTACACTTGCTGGAAGGAATCGTGGAGATCAGAGACCTTTTGTAGTATTAGTA